GGCCCCTGTCCCATATCTGAAGAAGGCTGATTGCGTCCACTCCAAGCCACCCTGGCTGCTCTGTGCTGCTGTGTTCTGCACGAGGCATTGGTTCGGTGCGCGTGGTCCTGTGCTGGGCTCTGGAAGTTGCAACAAGGAGGAAGATGAACAGTCCTTGCCCTGGAGGGGCTGCAGTCCAGCCAAGAATGCAAAGCACCAAAAGGAGGTTGGTGTGAAGAAAGAGGGCAGGCACTTGGCTTCGAGGAGGTGGCCGGACTTCCCCTGGACCTTGAGGAGTATGTTGAGAAGAACAGGGAGCAGGTGGCTCAGACTGAGGGCCTTGGCGGTGCTGAAGGTAAATTTAGAAGGAGCGCTGGCTTGGGTTGGCGTGGGACATGCACACGCAGAGGAACAGCGGTTTTGGAGAGTGGACAGGCTGCGTGGTGGCCCAGCACGGGAGGTGATTGTGACGCCGGGCTGAAGGAGCACACGGGAACCGAGCGGGAGCTGAATGCTCTCGGTGGGGAAGACCCGAGTCAGAGAGGAGTCTTTGGGGCAGAAAACCACCATTTCCTGACTGCCGACTGTGGGCCACATATCATCCTATGTACTTGACATGTGCTCTGGTGTTTAATCCTAGCCCTACAGGTCAGTGTTTTTAATCCCGCATTTCACAGATGACAAAACTGTTAAAATTATTTAACCAAACCAGCTGGTAACAAGCCAAAGAGTTTGGAAAGGACTCAGACCCAATCCACACAGGTCCCATTTCTCCGTGTAGCTTACACCATGCCATAAATTAATGGCTGGGGCCCATGGGCTGACTTCAGGTTCCTCAAGCCCTGTAAGAATGTGTACAAATTCCTGTGTGTCATCAAAGTCTCAGAGGTTAAGTCCTGAGTGAGAAAGCCCCTCCCACTCAACATTTTCTCCCCTGCATTTCACCCAGGGCCTAAAAGTCCGGACAGACATTCTAGAACAGGTGTTCCATGCAGGGTTCTTGGCAGACCTCAGGCATAGGCTTGAGAGAGGGAGAAAAGGAGTGAAAAAAATAGGAAGAGGAAAGGCCTGAAAGGTTATTTTGTGGTGGGCAGAGGTAGAGAGGCCCTCCCCGGGCCACCCTGGGCTCCAGGACCTGCGGGCTCTCCCTCCTCTGCACCCGGCTCTGCTCTGCTCCAGTCAAAGCTGTTTTCCTCTCCTGCTCTCTCTCTCTCCATCACACCCCCTCTGCCTGTGGTGGGCTCATCCCTCCCTCACACGGGGGAGCCAACACTCTGGATCCAATCCCAGGAGGGTCGACCCCCTGAGTTGTTTCTCCCATGGTGGGGATGGGTGGCCCTGAGTCATCCACACTTTCCACCTGGTCCCTCTCAGGACCCGGAACATAGAAGGAGAGGATGCATTTACATTCAGAGGTTCCTACCCACTCAGGGCTGGATGGCCCCTCCTTTGCCCAGGTGTGCCCGTAGGACTGGCTGAACTTCATTCAGTTTAGTCTCCCCTTCTCTACCTGCCTCTGGAGTTCCTTCCCTGGGGTAGACGATCAAGGCCGAATCCACATTCCACCTGGTCTGACTCCTTTACCCTCTCCTCAGATAGATTCTGCAGTACATCATCTACGCAGCCCCTGCCTGGCCTCAAAATGCCACCAAACCTTTCGGCCCTGGACTGTAAGGCTCCATGGCAGGGGGCAAAACACATGTCTGTCCACTGAATCCCAAGCACTTAGGCACTTGGCGATTTTTTGGAAAGAAAGAATGAATGAACATGTCCAGGTCACCCTCCCCTCTTCTGCCTTTGTCTGGACCACATCTTCTTCCTCTGTTTCATGCCTTCCACCCCTCCCCACGTCTACTACTTGCAAAGCTCACTAGAGGTGCTGGCAGGGATACACCAATGGCCAAAGCCTGGCCTCCAAGAATGCTTGGTCTAGCCGGGCAGGGGCAGCAGGATCATGAACTTTGCTCTGACGCAGAGCCACTCACCAGCGCTCTCTCGTGGGCCTGCCTGTCCCGCCCTCATTCCTCATGGTTGACTCTTCTCCCTTGAGCCTCTCTTCTCTCCCCTGGATGAGCTCTGTCCTCTGCAGGAGGCAGCACACTTCCATTGACAAACAGCAGAGCTCATGTGGCTGCGATGAGGAAGTACTGGGATTTCCCCTGGACAAGGCTTTGATTTGATGCTGGGGTGGGGTAGGCAGTGCTGTGTCCTTACAAAAACCCCCCAAGGTGATTCATTTAGGGAATCTCACCCCAGCGCAACATGTTGCCTCTAGCTGAGAATCACGGCTCTGGAGAGCAGTCTCCACCCCATCAAAATACATCTACTTCCTCAAATCTACTCAGTGGCGTGGTCCATACTCAGCCACACCTTCTTTCTTCTCCACTTGGCTCCCTGGGCCATCACTCTCTCCTCTAGGACTGACCTCCTGGAACTTGGCCTGGACAGTATCCACATTTGCTTTCCCCTGGCCCTGTTCTCACCATCTTAGCAGCCCCACTAGCAACTTCCAATGGACGAAGGGCACTGCAGCTGGGACATGGGAGTGAGGGCTGGTGTCAGAACCAGGGCCATCTTCAGCCAGTGAATCCTGCAGAGGAAGATGTGGCAGGTGGGAGCTCTGCCCACCAGGCTATCTGTACCCCCACTCCCGTTTCCTTTCCCTCCTCCCCCATCCTTCTCCCTTCCCACCAATTCCTGCAAACAATAGGGAGTCAGCTGAGTGACAGTCATGGTCCTTGAGTTCAAGACTTCATCGCTCTGTTTAAGTCACATCTGATTTGGCCACCAGCCCTCTTGTCTCATGAGGAGGTGCATGTGGAGGCTGTGATTAGCTCTTAGAGTAACAATAATATTTTTCATCCTCTCTGCTCTGTGGAACAAGTGTTAGAGAAACCAGCACTCATTGTCTGCTCATGATGCTCACCTATTAAATAGTCATTCTTTCCCACAGTCACTATTAATGCATTTTATTGTTATTGGTCACCCAGAATAGAGACCCAGCTCCCTCCTGATCCAGCAGGAGAGGGTGAGAGAGAACCGGGGCACAGTCTGAATGTGTTTTCGGGAGAGGCTGGAAGGACTTCTGCTAAACAGGGTGTGGCCCTCAGAGCTTCTGGGGGTGGGATCAGCGTCTTCTCCCCTCCTTCCAGCCTGTCTAAATCCCTCTGGCTGAGAGTGTCTCATAGGCAGGGAGCTTCCTCCAGTGTGTCCCTGTCACCTGATGCATCACCTGCACACACAGGTGACCAGGAAACCCAGAATCCTACTGGAGAGACTGGCATCCCGTGCCCAGCTCTGTTCTCTGGGACCCCAGGACCAGAACCAGAGAAGGACACTGACTCCCTGACTCCTTGACAGTGTGTATCCATCAGCTGGTCACAAACATCTGCACGTAGAGGGTGGATCTTGATTCCCTCAATGCTCCTAGGAGACAGAAATTATTATTTATCCTTTGGAGCTGCAGACGCAAGTTCAGGGTGTGAAGATGATGCCTACTACCAGTAGCCGGGGACTTTACCCGGAATCCTGATGCGGTATTCTGCACACAGCACCAAGCTAGCTTTTCCTCTTCTCCTTGGGTATTTACATGACCCAACTCAGTCCCTCATTTCATGCAGTCCTGGTGGAAGCCCTCCCTGACTTCCCTATTAAAACTGCTCCACTTCATCCCCACACTTATGACTGTTTCCTTCCTCTGCCTTATTTTTCTTCATAGCCCCTTTTTGCGAGGGCGAGGGGGAGGTAATTAGGTTTATTTATTTATTTCTTAATGGAAGTACTGGGGATTGAACCCAGGGCCTCCTGCATGCTCAGCATGCACTCTACCATTGAGCCCTACCCTCCCCCCTGCATAGCTCTTATCTCCACAAGATATCCTATTACATACATCACGTATACATCTGCCTATTGTTCACTTCCCCCTCCCCAGAAGGTAAGCCCCTGCAGGCGAGGCCCTCCTCTCTGACTCACCGCTGTATCCACAGCTCTAGAGCACTTCCCGGCTCATGGAAGGAACTCAGTTGGCAATGAGAGAAAGAATAAGTAATGAAGGTGTGGACCACTCGGCCAAATAGCCTGTGCCTGAATTTCCCTTAGGTCGCCAGAGCCTGCCTCCTGTCATCCCAGGTGCCTGACTCACCTTAGAGGGGTCATCCTGGAGACTAAGAAGGGCTTGACCGAGTACCCGGGGAGTGGATGATGTTAGACGCCAAATGAGGACTCTGGAGGGAAACACCTTGGAGGAGTCTTTGTGCTGCCCTCTGGTGGTAGATCTTGGAATACCACAGACAAGGAATTTAGGCTATCAGCATTGCATGGGAATTTTAGAGATTATTGAAGAAATCCCCTAGTCACATCCCAAGGCCACACAGAGAACAGATGGCAGAGTAGGAACAAGGACTTGAGTGACAGTCTGACGCTTTCATCATTACACTGTTCTGTCTGTCCCCCTCACAGGGGCTGAAATTACACCACAGAACAGAAGGATGTTAGCTGGAAAAGCCTTAGGAGATGGGTTTGGTTTAATTCAACAAGTTATTTGAGCCAGTGCTAGGCACCTGGTGGGCACTTAATTAAAGATTAGGGTGATAAGTGTACAGTAAGAGAGCCTAAGTGTATACTAAAGCAAGTCTTTGGTCAAATGAATTTGAAACATGAAATTGGCAGAGGAGTTAGGACTTCCCTCCTGGGATCCTACCTCAGGGTGTGCCCCTCTCTAATTTAACTTTTATCACATTTTATTGCCGTGATTTACATCTTTGTTTCCTTTCTAGACACAGAGCTCCTTGACGGCAGGGAGGACCAAAACTTCTCCCTGGAATTGTCACCATCACCTATCATCCCAAACAGTAGATGCTTAATAAATGATCATTATATGGAAAAACAGAGAAACA